TTTTTTTTGTTGTTCTTCTTCTCAGACTTCTCTCCCCATCTGAAAGTAAAAAAGAACAAAATAATAAAAAAGAAAAATAAAAACAAAATATAATAATAGTGATAATAATAAAATAAAATGAAATGAAATGAAATAAAACGAACAAACATAAGGGAATGAAGTGCTCTTCTCTAGAGGAGTACAAGACATGTGCAATTTCCGCTTTTACATTCCATATTGGAGGAAAAGAAAAAAAAAAAAAGAAAATAATGAAAAAAAAATATTAATAATAATATTATTGTTAATATTAGCTAATTAAATAAATAATTAAATAATTAATAAAAATAATATGTGGAACCAATCACCCCAATGCTGCTTCTTGTCTGCTGCAACAGATACATGTGATTTGATTTTTTTTTTTTCATATATATATCTACATATATCTACATATATCTATCTATATAGATATGTGTAATCACTTTCCTTTTGTGGGAAATTTCTCTCTTATTTTTTTTTTTTCTCATTTTTTTTTTTTTTTGTATTTCTTTTTCATAGTGTTGTTCTTTACCTGAATTTCCTGTTTTACCATGTGAAAGTAACGTTCTCTTGTTCTTATTCTTTTCTCTCTTTCTCTTCTCTTTGTTTTGAAGTGTGTATGTATGTATGGAGAGTTATTATTTCCACTGACCCAAATCCTCCTCACCGTTAATAAAGCGCAGTTCGACGTTGTGCAGATGTGCATGGATGTTTGAATAGCACACCGCAGCGGATGTGATGTAATCAACACACACACAGATACTGACAAAATAACGACTACTCTGTTGTTTGGATCTACAGTCTATTATTTAATATATTGATGATGGGTTATCCGTCCTTCTTATATACTGTATATATATATATATATACATTACCTTTCTATTGTTAAACATGTCCGTTTCTAACGTGAAAGTGATGTCTTGAGAAGATTAATTTTGTTTCTTGTCTAATATCTATTATCTTTATTTTATTAATTTATTTATTTGGGTTATTTCTTTTTTTTTTTTTTAGTTTGTTTGTTTGTTTGGATGGGATCTTTACAATTCATTCTATATGTGGAATTGCCCTTTTAACTCATTTATTTATTTATTAAATGGATTCTCCATTTTTTTTTTATGTTGTTATTATTTCCTGCCTCCTTGAGTGTGTTCTATTCGCATTTATTTCTCTCTTCACCC